TATCAACCACTGTATAATAGTACCTTCTCTGGCACCGTTGCATTCTTAAGGTACCTTCCTATCTGTGTATTAGCTTCTGACTCTCATCTTGGGGCATTTATAGACATGCTCTGGGAGGCAGGGAGGTGGGGAAGGAATGGTGCTTTAATTAATCCAAGAGCCATACTAATTAAAAGTGCTCAGACTGTCATGTGTATCAGTGTCCCTATACTGAAAAATGGCATCAGGATGATTTGAACTAAAGCTGGCCTAATGAGTTTTAGTTTAAAGTGCCCCACCACCATTTTTCAGCACAGGGACACTGATACATGCGATGCTGGAGTCTGCTGGAACACAGTACCATGCTCCAGCAGACTTGATTAACTGAGTCTGCTCCAATGTACTGGAATTCCAGTGCATCAGAGCAACCTCCCTGCATGTGTATAGGAGCTCTTGGTGTCTAAGGCCCTTCCATATAAATGTGCATATCAGTAGTCTCTAGTGGATTGCATGGCTTCTCTTCTTCCTTTCTCAGATGTCTCTCTTCCACTAACTCCTCCTAGTTTTAATCTGAAATATTATGTTACACTGGTTTTCAATATCTGCAGAACTGTGGCCTGCCTTCAATACTGGATGGACCAGGACCCTTTACTGTGTTTGTACCAAGCAATGAAGGAGTGGATAAGTTAAGAGATGGGCGGCTTATTTATCTCTTTACAGAGGTGAGATTTCAAGTGTTTGGGGAAGTCTTTAATTAGTTATGTTGCTTTATATTTTGAAAGAGAGTCTTATCAACATCAGAGGATGGGGGATATATGTCTAGTTAGCAAGTCAAAATGGTACTGGTGCACTTTTTGGCCAACTCAGAATTTTATTTATGATTCAATTGTACTTGATGAACTTGCTTGAGCACAAAATTGCTCTTCCCATAGTTGAGTCACTTCTTCCCATTTCCTATAATATTTTAGAAGGAAGCTTTGCTCTGCATGTTGATGTGACAATGACAGTTAAATCAGAAATTTAGCTATTTTGCTAAATTCAGATTTGTCATGATCTTTCCAATAAAGTTATTGTTAAAAACAAACCAAAAAAAAACCAACCAAAGAAACAAACACACATGCACTTGCTTTAAATTGCATGATTATCAGAATACTTTATTTTAGTTGCCTCTTATTATTGCTAAATGTTGAGAGAGAGCATTTAATTATTACATCTGTCTCCTTCTTTAGGGGATAAACAAGCTTCAGGAGCTTGTAAAACACCACATCTACACTGTGGCAGCGGTAAGATATCTGTTTCTAGTTCATTGGAGTCCTTTTGACCAGCATCTAAGTAATCAGCAACTTGCCTACAATTCTTCTGGCTTTAGATACAATCTGTGGCTATATCTGTCTCTAATTCTTGGGCAAGGGAAGAGAGAAATATATGTTCTATGTGCTGATTTAGTCAAACATTTATCATGGAAGTACTCCCACTTACATAGGGACTGCTCTTATGCATACTGCTTAAAAAGCAGTATACATGAGTATGCAATCAGACCTAGACAGGTTACAAGGGTGGGCGGATGAGAATAGGATGGGATTCAGCACCAACAAGTGCAAAGTGATGCACCTGGGGAGGAACAACCGGCACCATACCTACAGGTTGGGGAACTC